GAAGCTAGTTATTGTAATCATGTTGGGACATAGACTTTTAAATAACAATAACTAGCTGATAACATTAAGCAAAGGATATCAATTTTCATTGCTATAAACAACTTTATATTCTAAATCATTAATATGAAATTTATTCACTAAGTTTGTATTTATTTGTTTTATAAGAACTTGTCTTATAAAGTGTTTGGGACTGACTTTTTTGGTAACATTATGTTTGGTTATAATAAATGACTTCCTTTTTATTTATAATTCTTGTATAGTTTTTGCTTTGTTGTTACTGTAAACTAATTCCATTCGTCCTAGTTTTCAAACTCCTCCCCTGTCTTTTGCATAGGAGTAAAGGTTTATTTTTTGTTTCCAGTTCCTTCTAAAGTTTACTTTAACTCCATAATTCTAACATCTCTGCTTACACTCTGAAATTTTATTTACTATTTATTTATTTATTTTCCTTTAATAGGAGTTGATAGATTTGTCTATTATCTGATTCATGCTCTTCCATCTTATTTTGAATAGGAGTAGAAGTTAAGCCCTTGTATTCCTGTTTAGAATTAGGTTTCCAGTCCCTTATAAAGTCTTCTCTTTCACTCACAGTAGTAGATAGATTTGTCTATTGTCCAATTGTCATTCTTCCCTCATCATTTGAACAGGTGTAGAGGTTTATCCCTTGTTTCCTGTTTAGGATTAGTTTTCTGGTTCCTTTTTAAGTCTTCTCATTCTCTTTCACTCCCAATATCCCTTGAGTCTCAGTGGTATTGTTGCCTTGCTTGGAGTGAATTTATATTTAAAAAAATTCTGTATATGCAAATTTTCTTTTTCTATAACTTGCTCTCTCTCTCTCTCTCTCTCTCTCACACACACACACACACACACACACACACACACACACACACACACACACACACACACACACACAAAAACACACACTGAGAATGAAAAAGTAAAAGTCTTGGATGCACCTGTTCAATTAGTAGATTAGTTCTCAGAAGATTTTAACCAAAGCTTCTGTCTGTAGGGACTAATATTTTTATTTTACATTGATAACAAAAAAAGATACATAGTAAGTACATTACTACAGCTATAGTTTCTGGTACACATTTCAAGAATTTAGTAATTATGTTTAGATTGTGAGTACCTTAGCACTGCAAGTTAGGCAAAGAATTTCTATAGGCTGCCGAAAAGGACTGATTTTCTTCAGAGACAACTACTTAGCATATAAAGTATCAGTTTTATTGGTGTTTTACTTGTTTCCTCAAAACCAGGAAGTCTCTGGTTAAAAATAACATTCTTAAAATCATTGCAATTAAAAGGATACATGGACTTCAAGCAAAGCTTTTATCTTTTAATATTTCTGCATATAAAGTCTAGTATATTTAACTATTCTGTGTCTTATATGAACATTGGATACAAGTTAGGTTTATATATATCCCTGTTTTCTTGATAAGTAAACCTTTTAGTAATGTTATTTGAGATTCTGAGGAGATATGATAGACTAAAACTGAATACAAGTATTTCCCATTGATGGCATCTTTAACTTGTTCCTGTCTCTACATGTAAACTAAGATATGATTTATTTACTGGATTTATTTGAAGGTGATTCTTTAAAATTAAGTTTGTTCCTGAAATGTATGATTATCATTGAAAGTATCAAATAATATCTGTTTTATCATTAGTCTCAGGAGTTATTTTACCACATTTTCAGCACAAAACTCATTGAAAACTTAAAGAAATGCAAAACTTTAGATTAGAAGTATATACTAATATAATAGGCACATGGGTGCATAGCCAAATAATTGGAGCTTTAGCATTTTGATCTGAGGCCAGGATTCAAATGTCACCATGGTCAGTTAGTTAAGGATATGAATTCTTGATAACATCATCCTGGGGTGATAATTCCATTATGTAGAACCATTGTAAAAAAAAAATTAAAAAATCAAAGATCCTCTTTAGTGGATGATCTTGGAATAAAAAATAATTTTTACCAAGATATATTATCCTCTTAATTGATTTAAAAGAACTGTTCAGAAAGAAAATTACAATTTAAAAAAATAAGCATTAATGAAATTAGCACTTCTGCTCCCCCCCACTCCCCAGTAGGCATGGGCCTCTCATACGGTTGAAAGGTTAGGGACAGTAAGCACCAGCCCTTTTGATTATTATAATTGATGATTGACAATATAACTTAGGTAGAAAAAAGTAAAAAGTACACAAAGCAAAAAAATGCTGCAAAAACTAGCCTTTTAGGGGCTTCAATCTAGTCAGGAGTTTCTGTGTGGTACACACTGCAGCGGCCATGCAGATACACAATGTATATTATTAGTTGATGACTGACAATGTAACATCAGTTTAAAAATAATTTAAAAAATGGTGGATGGCCATAAAACAGTGCTGAAGAAAAAATGGCAGAGGACACAACAGGACCCCATAAAACACAAGGTTGGGAGTTTGTGGGGTAAAATGTAACAGCCCTGGGTGAACACTGTTCCAAATATTAAACAGTAATTTGTCTATACTGTTAACGAACATGATCATATATTGTTAACATGCAAGTCAAAATGAACATTTCAAGATACCAACACCAAGAAGAAAGAAGATATTACCAAAAATGGTTTTCTTATTTGAGTTGCTGAAGAAAAAATAAAACAAATGCAACAGGTTATAAAATAAACTATATATAAGGCAAAAACTGGAAGAGGAGTTCTGCTTTTCACTTGGAGAACTCTCTTCCAGATTCTTGTTTTTCTGTAAACTATGATCTTCAAAAATTGAAATGCAATGACAATCGCCATTTGTCTTTTTGAATCCTGTTCTTTTATTGCTCTCTCTCCCCTTATAATATTTTATCTGTTTCTTTTACTCTCAGTAACCAGTTACATCTTAGAGGCTTTATTGCCTTACTTGGGGTTAAATGATTAAAAAAGAATTTAGAAGCATGTTTAGTTTTTAATATATAAAAGTATACTTTGTCACAAGAACTGGTCAATAAGAGATTTTTTTCTTTACTAATTTGACAACAATGTGTTTACCTGTATAAGATCTGGTTAAAACTTACATTTTTTGTCTCATCTGTTTTTTATATATCCTATGACTTTTATATTCAGATTGTATACTATTTTTTAAATTCATCATGACTTAGATAAAGGTATCTGATATACCTATTTAATTGTATAATAATATTTTTTCTATTTTGAGAACATTGAGAAATATGCATACAAGGAGAGAAAAATTAAACTGAAAAAAAGACTGACATCAAGCTTTAAAATGTATTCATTAAAAATGATGCTTTTAGTAAGTAAAAAAAAATAGGAAAAATTTTAATACATTTGATGTTCAAAACAAACTTGTGTTTATATTGATAGATACAGTAAACAGGGCAGAATTTTAAAATCTCTTAGATATTTATAAAACTTTTAATAATTAACACAATGTGGACTGTCTTACAAACTCTTACATACTTAGATACTTAAGGAAAGTATATCTTGTTTTTGTTGATATTCATCCAATACAAGGCTGAAGAGTCACTCAAGGTAGATGGTTATTGTGTGGTGTTGTATGAGCTTAAGAAAGGGTAAGAAGTGAAGTTTATGGGACTATGCTAGAAAGATAATTGCTCACTCTAGACTTGAAGTGATCAAGATTGTTGTGACTTGGAAAAGAGAAAGGACAGACTCAGTAATCAGAAACCCAATCCTAAACAGAAAACAAGGGATAAATCTCTACTCCTGTTCAAAAGACTGAGGAGAAGTGTGAATCTGACAATAGGTGAACTTATCTACTCCTATTATCAACAACAAATGACTCCATTAATTTTAGGCTCTTAACTAATGATAGAAGAGACTGGATACAGTGGTCCTCATTTTTATCTAATGCACCCTCTTCACCATATGTCAGAATATCATTCCCTGCCCCACTTTCCAAGATTGTCCAATTCAAAAGGTGTATTCCAAATAATATGCATATATTATTGAAAATCTTCATTCTTTTCCATATTAGTACATATACATTTACATGGATTATTTTTATAGAAGAATTTTACAAATTTAATAGCAATAAAAATTGTTGATGGATTTTTAAACTTGAATACATATACAGTAATTCGTTTTAATTCATAACTAATTATTAAATAAATAAACTGAAGCATACTTCTATAAACAAAAAGTTCAATAGAATGCCAGGGTATTATAGTTCAATAAACAAAATTCTATAAATAAAAAATAAGAAAAATTAAAGCATCCTCATGAAACGCTGACTCCCACACACACACCTTGAATGGGGATCACTCCTGATGGAGAACTCCTGGATTAATAATTTATAACAGTGAACAGGATTTCAAGAATGTTACATTTAACATTTTAGAAGTCGATTGATCTCAAAGATCATAAATAAATTGGACTCCAAAGTTTCCTTGCAAAAACTCAAATTGTAAAATGGTTATTTATTGATTACTTCAGTAAAGAATTGCTCAATTTCAAGAAGGTATCAGCAACTGATATTACTGGTATGCTATAAATATAAATGATAGTGAATATACAGGCTCATACAAAACTATAGAAATCTAGTAACCACACATGTGAACACAGTTTAATATCTATATGTCTCATTGCTTATTTAAGTTAGTCTGAGGAAATAAAGTTAATGGAAGTTTCTGAGCTTGGATAACTGTTCCCATATGGAGTTACACAGATAGGAAAGCCACCAATTTATCAGCATGTTATGCCAGTCTCAAAACATGTGTTGCTATTGGAGTGAAAACCTGGAATTTTTAAAGAGAAAAATGTTATTATACAAAGAATTAGAAAGAGTGGGGAAAAAAAGGACAGGTATTTTATGAAAGAGAAAAAAAGTTTTGATGACTTGCTATTCTTATCAAGAGCAACAGTCAATTGTTTGGCATAGCAGATTGCATATATTACATACTTGGCTTGTAGAAGTTAAGTTGGTTTCCCAGATGCCCTAAAATCTTGCATATGTCATGTATATATGTCTCTTTTAGAAAGCTTCTTATGACCTCTTCCTTTTCACTCTTTTTTTTTTATTTCATCATTTTCTTTCATGTCCTCCTCCTTCTTTCATCTTCATTCTTTTATCATCTTTATCCATCTTTTTGTCTTCACCCTTTGTCAGTTATACTGTTTATCACCCTATTCTGTTTTGTTACTTTCTTTTTTTCCCCCCTTTTTAATTTTTCTTGTAATTTTTTTTTGTTTTATACATAAGCAGTTAACTACCACCAGCCTTTGCTTTCAATCTTTCTTTCCTTCCTCACTTCTTTCTTTAGATTAACTGAAAGAAAAAAAAAATTCTGTTTCTTTTGTGATAAAAAAATTAGCCAATTGGAATTCAGTACCAATAAAAACAATTTCCTAGGTATTATACTTTTTTGTATTTATTTTTTCTTTGTTTAATCATTTCATATGGTTCCAGTCAGTTTATAAAACTGATTTTTATTGTATTTCTTCAATTCTTTTACTTTTAAATTAATTTAATTCTATATACCATTAGAATTTCTTTCAAAACATTATTCTCAACAGTCTCATTCTTTCAAAATATTATCATCACTTTTATTCTTTCAATATATTATTTCATCAGTTTTATTCTTTGAAAACTTTATTCTCATCTGTCTCATTTTTTCAAAATATTATTCTTATCTCATTCTTTCAATATATTACTCCATTGGCCATATTCTTTGAAATCCTTATTCTCATCTGTCTCATTTTTTCAAAATATTATTTTTATCTCATTCTTTCAATATATTATTCCATTAGTCTTATTCTTTGAAAACCTTATTCTCTTCTGTCTCCTTTCAAAATATTATTCTTATCTCATTCTTCTGAAATATTATTCTCATCTGTCTCATTCTTTTATAATATTATTCCCATTGCTGCAATCTTTCAAAATATTAATCTCCTCTGTCCCATTCTTTCAAAATATTATTCTCATATATTTCATTCATTGATGATCTTTTCATTTACATTCTCTTATTACTTATTTGTATTTTTCTTCTTTTAGCCATTCAATCAGTTATATATTTGTATTTTTTAAGTAAAACTCTATATTTCATTTTTTATTCTTTTTCACCAATATACTTTCTTTCATACACATTATTTTAAAATAAATGATGTGGTCTTTGTTTATACATACATACTACTTCTTCGTTTTACATGCAGGATTTCTACACTTCCTATTTTTCATCTTATTTTTCATCTGTACATAGACAAATATTTCTTTCTCTACAGTTCATTTTTACTAAGTGATATACTTATCTGAAAATCTAAGTTCCTAAGTTGACATTTTCATAGTTGCATGTACAAGTTGCTGTGGTAAGTGTACCATTCTTATCTATAAATCATGTATGTATACATATATGCATTCATACATTGTGTGGGTGGGTGTAGGTGCTGAAAACTTCTGACCAAGAACAGGTTTTAAACATAAATTCTAATGCTTGGTTATTTATTTAAGTTTTGGGAAATAAATCAGTCTGAGAACTTTTTAGCTTTAGCATCTCCTCATAAATGCACACACACACACACACACACACACACACACACACACACACACACACACACACACACACACACACACACACACATATATAAGGCAGGGGTGCCACTAGCATGCAAAGGGTTACAGAAAGTGAGAGCAAGAGTAAAGAGTAAAGAGGGGAGTTTGAAGAAAGGATATAGAGACAAGAATCAGGATCAAGGCATCAGAAGATGTCAATTGACATTACATTCAAATATTTGAAGATTATAGCTATCAGGGAAGCAAGTAAGAGGAAGGGAGTTCCACTGCCAGGAAGTGCGAGAGATGTATGTATGTAGGTATGGTGAATATTCTTTCTCTTCCTTTTTCCCATTATTCAGATTTTAAATTGCCAGTCTAACTTCATTTCTGTTTCTCTATATCTCACTTAATTTGGGCTTTATGGGTTTTTATTTTCTTTCTTTCTCCCTTCTTTTTTTTGTTTTCTTTTTTTGTTTTTCCTTTTAACTATTTTTTTCAGGTTAACATGCTTTTTTGTAAGTTTTATTTATTTTTATTATTATTAGTTTCATTTCTTCTGTTTTCCCTTTCTTTCTCTCACCCTCTTTCTTTCCCTCTTTCTCCTTTTTTACATTTCTATATTGTTTCTACTCTCTCTAATTTTTATCATGTCATCTTTCTATCTACCTGTAATTTTTATATTTTCCTCTTTTTCTTTTTTACTTCTGAACATTTCTTCTGTTTTCCCTTTCTTTCTCTCACCCTCTTTCTTTCACTATTTCTCCTTTTTTACATTTCTATATTGTTTCTACTCTCTCTAATTTTTATCATGTCATCTTTCTATCTACCTGTAATTTTTATTTTTACCTCTTTTTCTTTTTGTTCTTTTTGTTGTTCATTGAAAAATTGAAAAAGCCATTTATAATCTGACTCTGCACACAATTGAGTTAAATGAACATAGAAGGCTGGGTGCATATACACTATGGCTATCTTTTAAGGGATAGTGTGAGGACACATCAACCTGTTGTCAGCCTGACTTTGCAGTTACTTAGATGTATTAGAGTAAATGCAGCCCAGGGAGGGTGTAGAACAAAACCCATAATACTTGAGAGGATGTGGGTAAGAATTGTTGGTTGTTGGGTGACAAAAGAAAAAGAAAAGAAAAGAAAAGGAATGGGTGGGCTACATAAATAAGTTAACACATATATCAAAAACATATTCTTCTTACGTTTATTTGTCATCTCTCACCACTAAAAATACTGCTTCCACCACTCTATAGTAAGAATACCAATTCCACCCCTACATATACCTTCTTGTCATGGCATTTATCACCCTTACCACTTTTCTTTATTTGTTTCTTTCATTGTTTGCTTGTTTCTTTCTTTTTCTTTCTTTTTTCTTTCTTAATTAAAGCATTCCTTCCTCTTCTGTTCTTTTCTCTCTACTCTTACTTTTCCTCATTTATGCTTTTATATCCTCTTCCCACTTTGGTTGCTTGTAAACACCTGAGTGTTAAGTTATTTGGGAATTAGACTTGCTTCTCTTATGGCAGACTGGGGACCGTTGTCGTTGCTACTCTGAACAATCACAGGTATTGGCACCACTGTATTCAGGAACTGCTGGCGATTTAAAGCAGATATGGCTTGCAGGAAAGGCTTCTGTTTATTTTAGTTGGCCATTGCCTAGTGCCAAGTCAATCCCAAAAGAAATTAAATGCCCCAGAAATACTAGAAATGTGTCCCAAAATTCTAATACTCTTTTGTCAGAATCTCTACTAATGAATAAATAACTTCCAGTGAATTACAACTGATCAAGGACTTAAGTAAGTATAACTAAATTATGGAATTAAAATAATGTTTCCCAATTGTAGGTAAATTACCTATCACCTAATTACAAATATCCATATTAATTACTATTTTTTAATTATTTTTATGAAGTTTTAGTCTCATGTATAAATGACTTTAAAATTTTCCTTTTTTACATACCACCTGTTTACTCACTTATTAAATTCACAATATTTTCTTTTCTTCAAACAAATTCAGTTTTGTTTAATTATTCAAATAAAAGAATATATATCACTGTTAAAGATCCCATAGACAAAAACTGTGTATTTTACTTTACCATACATTAAGTGATAATGAATTAATATTCATTTTTTTTTTAACAAAAAGTCCAAAAGTTTGCAGAATTCTTTAAAATTATTAAAAATTAGTTTCTAGTTTTCAAAGTATGAAGGCTCTAAGACCTTTGCACACACTTTATAATAATTCAGAATAATCTAAAATTATATCATCAAATATTATTTTATGTAATGTGTTATGTTTGTGACTTTTTGGGTAACCCTAGATTTCTAGTGAAACAATTTTTTTATATGCTTACTTTTCATAAGATTGGTTTTATGTTAAAAATATTCATTTTTACAGAATTCACTTTCCATGATCTTGTTTTGTTTTTTCCTTTAAATCATGCAAAAATTCACTCATTTCTTCCTTAGATTGTGTTTATATATGTCTAGTAGTAATTATTTGTGAAACCTATGTTGTTTGAGTGGTAATAGTTTTCTTCATCCTAAAGGGAAGATAATTGAAACCATTTCCAATCAAATACTAGGATCAAAAATCAATGTGATTACATTGTTTTAGAGATTTTTAATTTTGTATTTTGGATCATTTTAAAAGATTATTTCCAATTATCAATTTAACAATTAATTTTATATATGATTGATGTTCTTTGAAAAAAGTAACGCTTTGCCATAATTACAACTATAGAAACGAATTAGCATGGCTGGAAAGATAAATACTTTGGAAAATTACAAAAGTTCGATATTGCAAATGATTAACAAGACAAAATTATTTACATATGAATTATTTAAAATAGAATTACACTGCAAATTATTTATAATAGAAAAAAATAGCAAAAATACAGTACATATTTTTTATGATAGAAATGTATTGAAAAAGTATACAGCAGATATATAAATACATTGCAAAAATACACTGCAGTTTATTTATGATATAAATACATTGCAAAATTATGATGCAAATTATTTACAATAAAATACATTGAAATAATGACAAAAATTTATATTAAATGACTTATGACTGGGATATATTAAATATGATTTTATAAAATTTGTTACAAGTGAAACATATTTCAAATACTGAACAATATTTATACACCACTGAATTGTGAAATTAAATTTTTAGATGTCTTTTTGTATTATGTATGGAATAAATTATTAAGGCATTATGCAAGTTTTAGGTTATACAAAATAAATACCTCCCACATTTTAAAGATTGATAAAAAGACCAAAGCAATTGCTATTAAAAAAAATTCAATGTTGTTTAAAAAAGGGCTCTAGATTTATTCATTTGGTTTTAAAAATTAAATCATCCAAATGGTAGCCTCTATTCACCATACACTGTTGTAGATGATTTCTAAAGTTTTCCATTACCCTGAAGTTCGATTGTTTCAAGGTCCTCCAGGTGGCTTTCTTTTAAGTGCATGAACCTGAAATTTTCAACTCATAGCAGTATTGATGGTCTATCTGGAACAGCCTCATTCTGATGCAACATGAAATAAGTATGGAAAACTTTCTGTATTGCAATTACAGATTCACCAGTCTTAAAAACATTTCAACATTAAATACACAATGTGCATTGGTATAAACCTTGATGGTAACTGATGGTATTTGAAAAAGAAATGGTAAGACATTAGCTAGATGAAAACACCATTGCCACTTGCCTAAGCTACTAGATCTACACAGGTGTCAGTTTAAAATGTGGGGCATATTTCTGCTGCACCCTGTATTAACAACCAATTCTTTACACAAGTGTGAAAGAAGTGAAGCCATTTACTTAAACCCAAATCTTTCTGTAGATTTATATCTCATATTTTTATCTACTCCAATAAAAGACATAAAAATTACATTCTATAATTAAAAAAATGATGTAGCATTTCATATAAATGCATATACAAAAACCATATAACAAAATATAACTCCAAATACTTACATATGTATATACATATGCATGCATATATCTATATGTATATAAAATAAATTTTTAATAAACTTATAAAGCTTCATAACATAATATAACACCCTGGTGTTGAAGTATTGTTAAATACATAAATTTTTCATTTCAGATTACTTTTTAACATTTTTGTGAATTTCAGTAATTTTGTAAATTTTTATTTTACTTTTTGATGTCCTTTGATTTATTAGTCTTTATTAACTTTTCAAGTATAGTTGGAGTCCACATAATATATATATATGTGTGTGTGTGTATGTGTGCGTGTATGTGTGAAATTTCATATATGACTAAAAATATTTCTGTAATATAAATATATTTGTGATGTAACTGCACATACAGATGAAGGAGACGGGATGCTGAAATTCTAATCATTTTCAATTAATCTTTTTTCTTAAACATAACATATAAATTAATTTTTTTAGATTAAAACTTTTTAAATATAATTTTTTAAAATTATATTAAAAAGTTTAAAGTTTCTGCTCCCTCCTGCTTTATCTGTATACGTAGTTACAACAAAAAAATCACTTTAATCCAATGTCCTAAATGACATAAAAAAATTTTTGTCATTAATTTTCCTAACATCATTCTTGTATATAATAATTTATATATCATTTTTTTTCCAAGTATATATATATATATATATATATATATATATATATATATATATTATTTATTATAGGAGATTAAAACAAAAAAATGTTAAAAATCACTATACAATAGCAATTGTGTTTAAGTACTACAATTTTTTCTCCTCAAGCAATGTTAAATTACTGGCAAGTGAACGAATACTTCTTTAAAAAAAAATGTTTTAAAAAAATGTTTTTTGTTTTAATCTCCTATAATAAATAATATTTAGCTCTACTTTGTATTGAGCACTCTTTTAAATTAAAAGTTACAGACAGCAGAATTATACTTCATTTGTTCTCATCTCACGGGTGTGTATATATATATATATATATATATATATATATATCAAGTATGTGGTGCAGTTCAATTTACATTAAATGAATCATTCATACAAAAAACATTTTTGTATGAATGATTCATGTAATATATATATATATATATATATATATATATATATATACATGTATCTATGTATTAATAAATACACATGATAACTCTGTTTAAATACATTGAGCACTGTTTTGTTTACACCTTAAATTAAATGAATATTTATTTGCTCATCTTTATATGTAAATTAGAACAAACATATATAGTTGCTAATATCTTGTTATTTAATTTATGTACATTGTCACTCTGTTTATTTCTCACGGCTACTGATGAAGAACAGGTGTGTTAAAAAATTCTGAACTTGGAAGCTCAATCTCTGTTCTTCATTTTTGTCACCTGGTTATATATATATATATATCACTGTAAAATCCAAGGAGAAGGGTGTTTAATATAAAATCTTATACTCTCTTGCTTACATAAATTCAGAAAAGAAGAACAGTTTGCAAAATTATGAAATTACCGACATTGATTTTTACTTTCTATTCAGTTATGAATCAGATATTCATAGTATATCATTTTTTATACAAATACAATATGATGATAGTTAATTTACCTATTTTAAAGTAATTCACACACACACACAAGGTGAGTGGCAAGTATTACCTGTAGTTGCTAGTCAACCACTATCATCATATGTAACCTAAATGTAGTTTTACATATATATATATATGTATTCATACATGTGAAAGACCCATTAATGTTCATACAAACATAGATTTTATCAGTCTGTTTCTGTCTGTTGGCACCTCTCTCTCTTCTCTATCTCTCTCTCTATCTATCTGTCTTTCTCATTCTGTTTATATCTATCTTCATGTGTTCATATCTATCTATCTATCTATCTATCTATCTATCTATCTATCTATCTATCTATCTATAAATGTATGTATTGGATGTGTTTATACATATATTATATATGTGTGTGTATAATATATATATATATATATATATATATACACTCAAAAAAGATGATTCAGATATTCAACTTTTGTATTTATATATAGTATATATATATATATATATATATATATATATATATATATGTCAGACATATATGTATATATATATATATATATATATATATATATATATATATATATATATATATATATAAATATATATATATATATGTATGTCATTGTATGTATGTATATAGGTATGTATATGTATATATATATATATATATATATATATATATATACACACACAGATATGTATATATATATATATATATTGTACATATATGTAGGTATATATATATATTTGTATATTTAGGCAGCAATCCTTCCTTTATGCATGTTTCATTAAAACGACAGACAAAAGAACTTGTATTTTTTAAAAAGCTCAACTGTAGAAAATTGTCTGTCGTTTTTAATGAAACATGCATATATATATATATATATATGTGTGTGTGTGTGTTATTGTATATTTATATATATATATATATATATATATATATATATATATATATATATATATATATATATATATATACTCACATATTCTGAGCAGAAGAGAATTGTGAATTCCAATAAAAAGTATGTCATTAAGTAGGGAGAAATAGAATCTGTCCTTGAGCTATTAGGACACCAACACACTTGCAGTATTTGTGGTAAAGTCACCCTTTCATTGGCTGGCTTAACCAGTCATGTAAGATCACACCAAAGAGGTCAGGTGCAAACTCCTGTGAATGCAACCCTACCAGAAAGACCTGCGGGCTACTTGTATGAATTTTATGTCAAGGTTTGTAAGTCTGTTGCACATACGGACAAGCAAGTTTATGTTTGTCATGTGTATAAGAGAGGTTGTAAAAGTGAAACTTGCCTTAAAAATCACTTACAGGCTCATAGCAGAGCATTAGCTCAGGTACAAATGATGGAAATAATAAAACTCTGTGTCGAAAAACACACAAACAAAAACTACCACAAGTGAAGAGATAGTCTTCTTCTGCAAAAAGAGTTCATCATATATATATATATATATATATATATATATATATATATATATATATATATATATATATATATATATATATATGTATTCATTTATATTAATAAATATATATTTCCTCACTTGTAGCACAATTCATGTTTCATGCATGATGCAATCATCAGGTGCTGATTGAAAAGAGTTTTAAATTGCATCATGCATGAAACTCATATATATATATATATATATATATCTTTATCAATGTGTTTTAGTGGACTCAGCAATTTTCAATCTGCTTGTCTGAATCATCTTCAAGAAGTGAGAGCAAGATCTAAAAGGTCAGCCAATCTAACAGTGATCTCATCTCACAATTCTCACACCTGTTCCATATGTGGCCTCCTTTGTAAATCACTAGCGGGTCTTAAATGCCACTTAAGATTATCGTATAAACTTTCATAACTGAATCAATAAGCTGGCAGATCCTCATACATCGAAACCGAAGGGAGAGTCCATTATTATTATATATATATATATATATCTGTGTGTGTGTGTGTATGTCTGTATGTGTGTATCATCATAGACACACAACCTCTCTCTTTCTCTAAACGCACATGCACACATGCACAGACACACGCAAACATACAAATTTAAAATTCTGTCATCCCAAACTTCCAGGATGTAGCTAACTTTTCTCTACAATTATTTATTGGTGATATCACAAACAAGACTTCTTTTTCTTTTCTTTTTTTATTTGAAACAAATGAACACAACATTTCCCAAAGGTGAAAACTCATCTTTAAAATTAATGAAAGCTCAACTGTTTCATATTCAGAACTCAAGATTATATCTCTGAAGCATCCATAAATATTGGTGGGAAAAGAACAGGTGTTTTGTACCACATTTTTAATTTAAAAAAGAATTTTTATTTATTGAAAAAAAATTAGTTCTTTAACCTACACTTGATGGCCTGATACATGTTGTAGCATGTCTAACATTTAAAGGTGTGCCAAAAGGCATAAAAAGCTTAATTAAAATATTTCTATGTTTATGATATTATTTTGTGCTGATATTTTACCTATAAATAAAAATGCTTTGCATTTAGATAAGATAAATTAATTACAATAAAAAGAATGAAGTGAAATTGAGTGGAAAGATAACATATTATTAATACAATCCATATTAAATACATTTATTTCAGACTAGAAATATCTGTGAAAATTTCAGTTTCCTATTTGTTTTTTTGATGAATCTTAATTAAGTTAATGATAACTCATGACAATTTCTACAATAAAATATCTGCAGAGATTCACCCATTATATCATTAACTATTTGAGGTTAACAACTTTAATAAAATATTGCAATAACAATCATAAATATGAATGCTGGTCATTATTTTAAGAATTAAGTGTATAAATGAAAAGATTTGAAATTGATAACTTTTTCGATTTCACTGACACAGATGTTAAATAATTCTATCTTTCTTTCTTTCTTTCTATCTTTCTTTTATTTTCTCATTGAAACCAAGTAGTATCTCTGATATGTCCTTTTCATCTTTCCGCACAATAAAAATGGAATAGATGTTAAACACTTCTTTCTTTCTTTCTATCTTTCTTTTATTTTCTCATTGAAACCAAGTAGTATCTCTGATATGTCTTTTCCGTCTTTCCACACAATAAAAATGGAATAGATGTTTAACACTTCGATCTTCCCTGCTTTCTTTCATTTTCTCATTGAAACCAAGTATTATCTCTGATATGTCTTTTCCGTCTTTCCACACAATAAAAATGGAATAGATGTTAAACGCTTCTATCTTCCCTTCTTTCTTTAATTTTCCTCACTGAAACCAAGTAGTATCTCTGATATGTCTTTTCCATCTTTCCACATAATAAAAATGGAATAGATGTGAAACACTTCTATCTTTCCTTCTTTCTTTCATTTTCTCACTGAAGCCAATTTCTGTCTTTCCATCAATATGAAATAATTCCATTATTTATGAGGGACAAGCATAATTATGATATGATTCTTTGAAAGTATGATTAATCTCAGTTTGTATTAATAGTGTTAGGTTGATGATACTTGTTATAAACCTATTGCTAAATAAACAACCAACATCAAGCTAACAATATGCTTCTTTACAGTATTTTAGACTTGTTAAATCTATTAATATTCCCAGTTAACCATGTTAAAATATGACCTAAATTTTCTTATTCACACACATTGTTTTACTAAATTTATTGAGCCTGTTGTTAGAAAAAGTTACAAGAGAGAGAGCATCGTTATAATTGCTTTTTTTAATACATGTTGCAAAGATCAGATTACATAAAAAAATATAAAATTTGTACTTCGTTTATAAAAAATAATTGAACCTCAGTTTTATTGCAACTATATATATCTAAATTTTGCCCTATATATTCTGCTAAAATTTGATATTATTTAACATTTGGAATGAAACAGTAGCATTATGTAAATATATATGGACTGAAAAAATACCTACAAAAATCAAATGGGAATTAATAGAAAAAGTACCTTCAAATTCAAATAAAATTATGGAAAATAAAGCATAATATTTTTTTTTAAAAATCCACATTACCATCAAAAATGTTTGCGGTACCTCTCTTCTTTTTAATATACATACTTTTCTCTTGTTTCCTCTTACTTTTATATATATATAGTAAGATATTTAATAAAAACACCCTAAAATTAAGTTACAGTTGCACTGAAAATCTTGAAAGTATAATAAAAAAACACAATAATAAAATCCTGAATAAACCCCCATGTCAGAATAGTATTAATAAAAACCCTACACTTAAATTAGACAAAAATAGTGAAAAATTATGTGATTGTAGAAACCCAGAAGACTGCCCATTGAAAAATATATGCCGCGTAAAATCTGTGGTATACCAATGTACTATCTCATCCATTGAGAGTCCTAATACTAATATGATATCCATTGGGTCTACGAAGAATGAATTTAAAACCAGATGGAGGCAGCATAAGTGCTCCTTCAACAATATTAATAAAAGAAATCAGACATCTCTATCTAAATATTTTTGGCATTTAAAAGAAATGAATAAAACACCAAAAGTAAAATGGAAAATTATAAACAAAACTAGAACTTGTAAAACTTGGGATGACCCATGCCCTTTATGCCTACATGAAAAACTACATATTATCAAGTTTCTAAATAATGAAAATTTATTAAACAATAGACATGAGTTAACGGTTTTTGCCAACATCATCAAATTTTTGCATTGAATAATTAGCATAAAAAACAAACAAACAATAAATACAAATTTTAAACTCCATAGTCTAAATAAAAAGTTTAAATGCCCTACCCAATAAAAAAACAAAACAAAAAAAAAACATTTATGAAGTCGTCAAAAAAACAAATGTTAACGAATTATGACGTTTTTTTTGGGTTTTTTTTATATACACAAAAACCCTTTCAGGGAAAAAAATAAAATAAAATAAAAAAAATAAATAATTCTCCATAGACACTTAACCAGACTAGACGATGTCATCTTCCGCTTTAAATTTAGACACCCCAACCTTACCCTGACTTGACCTCTTTGAATGTAACTGAGATATTGATACAAATTATTAAACCTTACCCCCCTTTTTTAAAATAATTGCTCTAGGCGTTACCATAGTAATTTTAATTTTAATAATGAATATGCTTATAAAATGCGTAAATTTCAAGAATTAGTTATTCCAAAAAAAATTTCACTTGAAGATGGAACAGAACTAGGTTCTTTAATTCATTTTAATTCAAATAATTATATTGAAGTTTTTGGCTCTTGTTTTGGAACATGAGAACTCTTATGTAGTGATGGAATCATATTTTTAAATAAATAATTATATATAGTGAGAGAGGGAGAGAGAATTAATATAAGTAGAAGGTTTGTCAGCTGATTGATGTTACACTCAGCATCCCGACTCCAGAGGTTCGTA